GACTTCTTAAATATCGTGGGTGTGCGCACTAAGTGAGACTATGCAAGTCTGCCTTGAATAAGCCTCGATTAGTTAAAGCTGAACTGCGTTCGTGGAACGACATGAGGCTAAGTTTAGAGATGGAGCTAATTTGAGTCTCACTTTTTCGCTTAAGTCTGGCTTTATTTAGTTACGTTCATGGAAAACCCCCCAGGTACAGTATCTCTTCAGACCTTGTTTATTTCTATGTCTTATTACATAATGACATCCCATTTAGCTATTTCTGGGTGTGCTCCCTGTAGTGATCTTACCTGCCAGTCTTTTAGCTATGATTTTTCCAGATGAGAAACCATTGCTCCTCAAATTTGCCACAAAGATTAATGCATGCAGGTCCCACAAAGAAGACAAGGCATTCTCTGAGTGCTCATTGTCATTTTCTAGCAGTTTCTTTTGTGAGAGAATCCCAGGTTATAACCTAATCAGCCTCCACACATACTTTTAATTGTGGATTAGCAGGCCCTCGTGTCTCTCACTCTTTCACACTCACTCACTTTCCCTCCTGTCCATGTCTGTGTTTGCTTTGTGTTGAATGATTGTTTGCCTCACTGTTTCAGGCGATATACAAGGGATTCACAAATGTGTCACAGATGTGATTTTTCATTACCCTGTTGTGTGGTCAAAAAGCATGAGGCAGGGGTGGGGGGGTGCTTTTCTTTGTTGCAGTGAACTAAAGACTCCCTATGAAGCGCTCGTTCATCTGCCTCAAATGAAACATTTGGATGTTGAGCGCTGTCAGCAAGTTCTGCTTCTGACTCCTCTCACCCTTGACATGAAAATGAGGGTATCGCTTTGGATGAAGTCATGCCATTGCTGAGTCATCTGTGTATGGGCTGCGTCAATGCTGTTAGGGTTAACCTCATCATTTATAGCCTTCTTACACAACTGCACACATGCTAATTGAGATTATTTTTGTTTCCTGCTAATAGCGAAGGTATTATATGTATTAACTGTCACACATCCTCCTGAGTAAACTTTTTCCAGCAATCCTCTCCTTTTACAGTACAGTAAAACCTCGGATTGCGAGCATAATTCATTCCGGAAATGTGCTCGAAATCCAAAGCACTCATATATCAAAGCGAATTTTCCGATTAGGAATAATGGAAACTCAGATGATCCGTTCCACAACCCAAAAATATTCATATAAAAATGATTAATACAAAATATAAAGTAAAAATACATTAAACAAATTAACCTGCACTTTACCTTTGAAAAGAATCGTGGATGGTGTGAGGGAGACGAGAGAGGAGGGTTATCTTGTAGGACGACTTTCACTATAACTAACAGAATCACTGCTATCTGTTGGCTCACTGGAATCTTTTTCTTTTTGTTCGACTTTAACAAGGTGTAATATCTTGGTGGGGAAAGGAATAAAACTCTCGGGGACGCGTTGCAACCTTAGAAAACTTTTTACTAACTCAAAACTCAACTCCCACAGCACGTACCAACATGACGTACACCAATCACCTCCAGACTCAAGGGCGGGGCTACTTGCTCCCAGAACCAATCACATCACTGTGATAAACTCTGTCTATTACACAAGGAACCTATCCAATGACTGCCACTTTTGCCTACTTTTCGATTTCACGGAAATGTGGATATTGCATTGTCGTTAAACAGATTCATCGCTCGCACTGCTACGCCCTTATTTGGGTGGCGCTTTTCTACTAAATTTTGACTATACGAGTGAGGCATGCAGACTGAGACCGAGCATGGGAAATGATTACCCACAATCCCGCAATGAGAGAGAGAGAGAAGAACCATCGGCTCAGTTGTGATCACGTGACCCTCGGCAGTGTATAAATAATACTCATATTGCAAGACCTCGCTTGTTTATCAAGTTAAAATTTATTTTAAAATTTTGCTCATCTTGCAAAACATTCGCAAACCAAGTTACTCGTAATCTGAGGTTTGACTGTATATATTTTTTCTGGTGGTATGGTAGCTAGTAGACAGGAATTGTGACTTTTTACACTTTACGGACACTTGTCTTCTTTTTCTCCTGCTCTTCTTTTGGTCTTTTTGTTAAAACAAAATGATTGAGTTAACTGGATAGATAAGAGTTGCTTTACAAGGTATATCCATTTATACAATTTTTTGCTTTTGCATTCTGTTGAATTCTTTTTAATTAACCCTGTATCTTGCCTGAGGGTCACTATTCATTATCTTTCAGCAACAACTCTTTCAAAAATCCTCACATGACATATTAAGCATGCCATTCAAGCTGCAATTCTATGTAGGCTACATTTCTCTGAAGAAGGTCCACCATTTCTGACAGTGATGAGCTGGCAATAGGATGACCTGAGAAACGAGAGAACTCTAAAAAATTCTCCTGGGAAAAAGATTATAATTATAGAAGAAACTTGTATTCTGGTTTCTCAAGTTGATTGGTGATGTTTGGAGTTTTAGACAGAAGGGGAGTTCGAGGAGGAGTCTGCAGGAGCCACTGTTATCTGTTACCAGCGGACAGTTTGAATCAAAATAATATACTACAGAGTTCTGTTTGAGATATGTGATATGAAATGAATGAGGCATCACCTATGGAGGATGATAGTAGCTCTGAGCAATCTCAGAGAACAGTCGATCATTTGACAGGAAGCTCAAGGAAGTGGGACAGAGGAAATGGTAGCCCCAACGTGTGGCATTGCTCCTCTTGTTCCTTTGTCTGCTGTGACGCATCATCCCAAGGTGGTTGTCCCGACCACCGTCCAATGAGTCTGTGTACATTTGGTCACACTCCCCAGGGACAGGAAAGGTGTGTTTATTAAAGCCCTCTTTGATCCATGATTTATGTTTCCTGGCTCTGTTATTGTCAGCTAAACCCTTCTCTTATCCGCCCCTCTAATTGAGGCCTAGACTGACTTGTTGAGTTCACAATGGGAAGAACCTCGAAAGTACTGTAGTCAAAACAAGTCCGTCTCCTGACGTGGTACAAGGAGCCAGACCAATTAATAGTCTGTGAGGTGCAGTTGGGCAGCAGTGACCTCATTTCCTGACACCTCCTTTTCCCTTCATCCTGTGACTTCTATCCACTCCTGACCCCTTTTTACATCATATGTGGCCTTGAGCAGGTCTTCGGGTTCATTGTTGCTTGTCCGCTTTGTGATTATTCAGAGTCTGTTTAGCAGCTCCTGATCTTACCCCCCAGCTTTTACCATTAGATAATTACAGAATGTGTCTTTATTAGGTCAACATTATGTGTGCAGCATGTGACCTTCTGTAGATCAACTTGTAACAAAAGGCCTTTAGTTACTGATGGGTCATAACCTTTTTAGGGAAGAATGGTCACAAGCTTCCACTGTTTACTCGTGAAGCAGAGTGATCCACCTCCTCACCCCATATTCCACACCACTAACCCACCTGTGCTGCCCCTCCCAGCACTCCAGGCCACAGTGGACTCAAACCGTAAGGTTCCAGCTTCATTATTTTGTTTTATCTGTGTTTGTCATCTGTCTGTAGTTAGGTTAATGTGTGTCAGCACTAGTAGAAAGACAAACACATTAAAAACTTCAATAAGGCTTTATTATTTCAGGTAGCTAGAAGAAAGAAAACCCTTGATGTGTCTGCCCAAATAAAGAACAATAATGCATCTCAAAGTAATATTTACAGAGATAAGATTTTATAGGGACTTTTTCAATGAACAATATCCTGTCCAGGTACAGCCCTCAAAAACAGGTATCTGCTCTGTCTCTGAAAACATAGTCTTCCAAATCACAAAACCAATCATAGCCCTCCAAGCTAAGGAACCAACCAGTTACAGCCCTCTAAACTCTGTAACCAAGCATAGCCCTCCAAACTGTGAAAGCAGAAATAGCTCTTCTAACTCTGAAACAAATAAAAACCCATCAAGAGCTGGTGTGACTTAGAAGTATGTGGTCATGCAGGGCTCTTTGGTGGTTAAGAGAAAACATAAACTGTTTTTTCCAAGTATTTTTTGTACATATGGTTCTGTTCAGCTGGTGGTTGGCAGTTTGTTGGTGTTGAGGTGTCATTGGAGTGGTGAGCAGTGTATGAGAAACTGGGAGATAAGAGTATTGCTTCTGAGAAAAGGACATGCTGGATAGTGCAATGTACCATTTTAAACAGTGTAAAGATATGACATTCAGGTCAATGATTTTACATTACATTTATACTGACAACTGTTATTGAACGAAGGGCAAAGAAAATAATATAAATGATAGATAGTGAGAAGAATCTCATTAATCGCTAAGAAGAGGACATTCATCCACCCATTCATCTATCCATCCATTCATTTGCTTATTAGATGCCATTGTCCAAAGAAACGTACAGTTGTGAAAGCACAGTCAGTCCCTGGAGCAATTGTGGTTAAGAGCCTTGCTCAAGTTCCTGGTGGAAAAAACCCTCTGCTGACCACCAGATATGAACCAATGACATTCTGATCACAGGCATGGCGCTGAGCTTCACTCACCATCACTCCCATAACAAATGATGATGGAAGAGCATTTCCTACTACTAAAATATGATCTCTGAACCAGATATGTTTACACATTCTTGCCCTTTAAGCCTGGAGCCCATCCCGAGTGGTTCAGGACATGAGGCTCGGGAACACCCAGGACAGGATGCAAGTCCATCGCAGAGAACACAAAAAAAAGCTTACTTTATGGGCAATGTCAATACACCGGCTATGGTATGTCTTTGGACTGTGGCCAGAAGCCAGAGTCCCCAGAACAAACCTCAGTAACACGAGAAGAACATGTAGAAAAACTCAACACAGACAAAGCAGGGGTGGGATTTGAACTCAGAATGCTTGAGGCAACAGCTCTATCCACTGAGCCACCATGCTACCACACAGTTTACAAATGTTATTTCTAAGCCACATAGATTTTTCTATATAGATTGTTCTGCTAGACAAGGTGTGAGAGGATCTGAAGGTGGCCTACATGCAGGGTCAAGGCTGACTAAAGCAGAGATTACCTCGGTCTGTCTCGTCTCACCTCCTCCAGGTTGTCTAATGCCCACAGGTCTGCTGTCAGAGTCATGCGGAGGATGCAGTACTTTGTGGCCAGGCGAAAGTTTCAGGTATAACGGGGATAAATTACAGGGTGTGCAGTAGGATGGGTGGGAGAGACACTGTAACTACATCATCAGGGTTAAATCTGGGGAGACTGACCTGGGCAGAGACTGACCCATCTGGTCAGACAACAAAGATCATCATGTATTGGATACACACACATCACAAGACAAATACATTTTAAACCAGATCTTAACTCTGTTATTTTATTTTGTAAAGTTTACATGTGTCAAGATGTTATTTTACCGGGGTTTTTAATAATACAAACCTTGAAAAACTCTAAAAGAGATGTTTTGACTCTAAGAGAAGTAAAAGACAGGATAGTGTTAAGGGTCTACAGTTTCAAAAAGCAGTAAGTGTCCTCTTAAAAACTCAGAGCAGACTGCATAAACATATGACTTGCATCAGGTGTGTTAATGGGGAAAAGATGGTAATGATAGGAGACACAGCCAAGATCTTCTGCCAACTTGTCTCCTCAGCAAGCGCGGAAGCCATATGACGTGCGGGATGTGATCGAGCAGTACTCCCAGGGCCACCTCAACATGATGGTGCGGATCAAGGAGCTACAGAGGAGGTATGGGTCTGTTGTCACGGCGATGAGACGCGTGCTGAACTGAGGAAGACTATCGAGGAGAGCATCAACTAGGCATTTCATCTCTTGTGAGGGAAGCCAGTGTCGAGTATCCCAATGAGTACCTCTGAACTCGTATTTCACTACTCCTGCTCAAATCTGTAAGGCAGATGAGGAAAGGAGGGTCCAGAGTTACTGGAAGAATGGAGTGGGGAGCTCATTTGGTTTCGCCCGCATGCAGCTGGCTGCTGGCAGTAGTAACTAAGGAAGTGACTCACTGTTGAAAGTGTCTCCTCTGTGCTGTAGGCCAAGTTCATTACTGCTTCTACTGAGGTGTCCTGATCTAAGCCTTAGGCCTGGATTAAATAACTGAACTGATGAATATCAAAAGCAGATTAACTTTGTCCCTTTTTATTTTTCTGATCCACCTTTATCTCAAAGCATTTATTTCCGCTGCAAATCATCTCATGATTTTTGTTGAGCCATGTTTGAATGTACCTCAATGATTTGTTTGCCATCTTTATCTCTTGTGCGACAAGCTGTAAAGTTCTCTGAGTGTTTAGACTGCTCTTTGCACGAGGAGTCATCAGTGTCACAGACGGGCTTCAGCTGAAGTCATTTTACATTGTAATCCATGATTGCTTATGTGCTCTGTCCACGTACAATCTTTCAGAACAGTATTATTTTCATCATTTCAGTACTATTAAGATTTGCTCTTTGGAAGATTTATAGTACACATATTAAAAAAAGAAAACCATAATTACACAAGTAGCAGGCATTTATCTTTTCATTTTTGCAGGGTCATCCATTCAAAATTGATGTTTTATGTTGGTATTCTACATCTCTTTGTGTTCCTCAATTCCTCAGCTGTGTGACTTGATAATTAAAACAGCAGCTGATCAACTGATTAGTTAGTCTTAATTTAACTTCTAAATCTTGCTGTTCATTTTGCATTTTATTGTAGTGGGATTATAATATAATACTATTAGAAAAAAGTGATGTAGATTTCTATGGAAAACAGATACAGACGATGGAGCGATAGAGGAAAGAAAACAAACCTTCTGGCCATGGAGAACTTCCTTAACAGGAAGAATGTAGTGCTGGGGCGTACCATATTATAGCAGGTGTTTAGCTAGAAATAGATTTTGGGTGTTAGAAGAAGGATTATACACTCACCTAAAGGATTATTAGGAACACCATACTAATACAGTGTTTGACCCCCTTTCGCCTTCAGAACTGCCTTAATTCTACGTGGCATTGATTCAACAAGGTGCTGAAAGCATTCTTTAGAAAT